CATCATTGTTCTCCTTATGAGCATGAACCTTCAAGGTGCATTGGCTGACTATGGTGGCTGGGAGGGTGCTCATGCCACTTTCTATGGAGGGGGTGATGCTACTGGCACAATGGGTGAGTTTAGCATTTCATTTATTTTCATCTTTTAGTTTTAACATTGAAGATACAAGCACCTTGCATAAAGATTGTGTACAAAGCTAATGTTAGCTAAACTACTAGCTCATTCAGCCTTTTGTATTATGTTATTCTACACTTGTGGCAATATATTTATTATTCAACTTTTATAATACATACATATTTTGTAATTGTAAGTTAGATTTTGAACCATGGATATATATGTGTGTATGAGATGTTCCACCAACTCAAGTGTGATACCTAATAATACTAGCTCATTTAGCCTTCTATTTACTTGTATTACGTTATTACATACATGTTGCAATATATTCACTATTAAATTTCATAATGCATTTATAAGAGTGATGTAAAAATTTATATATAGTTATTAGTATATTATTTATCATTTATTTGTATTACTTTTTTAACTTTTTTTAATATTCAATGATGATTGAAAATGAATGGTAACTTATTGTTTGAATCATGCATATATAACCAAAGATTAACCACGAACCCGAGTTAATATTACTCTTTTTAAGTAATGTTTATTTGAAAATGTGATTTAATAACAAGTTAACCAAAAATATGATTTAACAAATAATTCCTCACAACACATAATATTTTTGAACAAAACAGTGTAGTTTGTGTATAATAAACTAAGTGATATTGCAAAAATTTGTATAAATCAGTTATTAAAAAAATCACATTTCCCATGTTTATATGAGTGTGACTATTGAGAAATGAGAATTGAGATGTTGGGTTGATCCATTTGTTTTATAAATGCAGGAGGAGCATGTGGTTATGGTAATTTATATAGCCAAGGTTATGGAACTAACACTGCAGCTCTAAGCACTGCTTTGTTCAACAATGGCTTAAGTTGTGGGTCTTGCTATGAAATGAGATGTGATGATGACCCAAGATGGTGCAAACCTGGCTCTATTATTGTTACTGCTACAAACTTTTGTCCACCAAATCCATCTTTGCCTAACAACAATGGTGGTTGGTGCAACCCTCCACTTCAACATTTTGATATGGCTCAACCAGCATTTCTTCAAATTGCTCAATATAAGGCTGGAATTGTGCCTATTTCCTTTAGAAGGTAAGTGAAGCCATAAATTTTGGTAGTGCACTTAAGCTTAAAGGGTCCTATTAATTTAATTCCCTATAGATATACAAACTATATTATTATTATTACCTAACTTATAAAGTGGAGAGATTAATGTTTGAAAATCAGTTTCACCTTCACTATAAACCTCATAAAGATCAAACACAATTAACCTTCCATCGCAAAATGATTCTGAAGAAGGATCAGAAGGCCGACTTATGGGTTCATATATATCTTTAGTCTTTGTCGGGCTATTCGCCTGGCGAAATGGATTGACAGATCGATATTGAAATCGATAGTCACCCCTTCCACTGGTCTGCCAAGACAGTCTCAATTAATAAAGGAGATTATCGCTTTATCTAAAGACCTGATCCCAAGGTACTGTCCAAGTTTGATCTCAACTCCCTTGACACAAGGGGTACGTTCTCTTATAGCACATGGCACATTTATCATATTAATTAAGAAAATTAATGTAGTTACTATCTAACCTCAACTACCAACTCTATTTATCACATTAAAAGAGAAAATGTTTGACACCAGGCTTATCCTATTGCTTTTTTAATGTATTTTTAAAAATGTGTATTGAAAAAAATAATAACAATAAGTTAGAGATAATGATAAATACATGCTATGTCACATAAGATATCAAATATGATGTCCATAATTTTAATATTGAAATAACATAAATTAGTTAAATTTCTATAATAACAATAGAGCAGACTTGCATGGACATTGGACACACAATATTAGTCATTAGATTCATTAAAGGTAGTTATTAAAAAGAAAATAAAGTCCTTGTTAAAGTTACTTCAATAAAACCTAATGACCTACATTGTTCATTAATCATATTTTACTCATGTTATTATTTGTTGTGGGCGAGAGTCAAACCATCAACGTCCTTCTCTCTACTCCTTCTCCCTACGTCAACCCACCTTATAACTCCATTTCTTTCTTCTAAATTTGTTATGTGTGATACTCGAACCCATAAGCTCCTTCATTCATTTCCTTAAACCCTTCCTCTTATCCATCATGCTTCACACCAACTTATAACCCTCTTTTATTCACTATTCTAAAGTTTCCAACTACTTCTAAACTGAGCCTTAACTCATGTCTGTTGATGATGATAGAGTGGCTTGTATGAAAAAGGGAGGAATAAGATTCACAATGAATGGACACTCATACTTCAACCTGGTTTTGGTCACCAATGTGGGTGGAGCTGGTGATGTTCATTCAGTGTCCATCAAAGGGTCTAGAACTCAATGGCAAATTATGTCAAGAAACTGGGGGCAAAACTGGCAAAGCAATTCTTACCTTAATGGACAAAGCCTCTCTTTTCAAGTCACAACTAGTGATGGTATAACTGTCACAAGCTTCAATGTTGCACCACTTAATTGGCAGTTTGGTCAGACCTTCCAAGGGGCTCAGTTTTAAACATTTTTTAATGCATTATGGTAGGTTAGCTAAAAATAAGTTTGTATAATTATTAAGTTTTTTTAGGGCAAGTTTGATGCGATGATAAAGTTATTGTTTCGTTATTTATGGATTTAAATCCTGGAAATATCATCTCTGCTTATGGAGATATGACTATGTCATTTATTTTCATCAAATCACACTAAATGAAAGTATGACTGCTCTTTTAATTATTAAGTTTTTGCTTGGCAGGCAAAAGAAAAAGAGTGACATTATAGGTATTCTGAAAGGCCAGTTATTTTATTGGTGTACAAAGTAGCTAAGGTGGTTACATGCACCCGCTGGCTATTTCACATGCATATATGGAGAGTGTTATGTTATTTTTTGTAATTGATACTTTTCATTATAGATATATGCTATTGTTAATTATTAAATTAAAGGATGTTTTTATACCAGGGAAAAGAATGAAATTTTTGATTTGTAGTTTGATGAATGGTTTTTTTCGTATAACTAAGGGTATTAGAACCAGGGTTATATGTCCTAATTTTTTTCTCATCATCTCTTAAGTCAATCATATTCCATCAAGTAATATAAAAAAATTATTTTTTATTTTTATGATTTTTTATTAAGTGACACTCTTTAATTGGATTTGAACATCATTAAAACACAAAAATGTGACAGATTATCTTCATTTATCTCATTACCTTAAGGTAAGGAATTAATTATTTTCTGAATGTGTAACTATTTCTCCTTATATTGTTTCCAAGAATCAAACATTTAATCTTTGACTTATTACAATATTTTCAGAACTAGTAAAACTTTATATCAATACACAAATTCATTGCCGGTGGATGAAGGGTTATTTGAAGGTGTGAGGTAGAATTGGGCTTTCATTCTATTGTTGGAACTAATTATGATATCAAAAAAGTTAAAAATTTGTGTAATCAACGATATCTTATAAAAACTAGTTACTTCAAAATTTAAAATGCATACTTTCCTCCAAACTCATTCATGAATGGTTATATAACTTTTATAATTTGATTGGTCAATTTTAATTTTGTCATTTTTGGTACCAAACAATTTGTAGCAAATAGCGTTCCTCTTATGAAATGTGTGTCAATGGCTTCTTCTTTTTCAGTGATTATGAATGGAAATCAATTGGGCTTATTTCATTCTTGTTCTGAGTGTTTGTGTCTTTAACTTCTTCTCCTTCTCAACAATTATTAAAAATAAAAGAAATTAAGTATACTTGTATCTCCATTAATGAAGAATGTCTTGTTTTTAGATTCTTATTCCTCAATGTGACCTCAATTTTTCACAGTATAATTCTTATTCCTCAATGTGGCCTCAATTTTGTATAGATTTTGCAAAATAGGAGAAATAATAATAAGAAAAATGACAAATTCAACAGAAAATAGAGTATAGGTAAGTTGTTGTATCCATCTAAGAATGATTGTAGGTTCATGAATGAGGAGAAAAAATAGTTAATATCCGACTAAGTGATTATAAGTTCATGAATGGAGTGAAAAAGAATAGTTAATATCTTAACCTATGAGATTAATCTATGAGAATGTGTAATAAATTATTATATATGTATTCCAAATAAGAATGAAAATATATGCACCTTGACTTTTTACAAACTCTTGGTTATTTTGGAAAACTAAAAATATTAGGCATGTTATTTCTCACATTATCTTATTATATTATCATGGTAAAATTAATCTTAGACTTAGTCAAACATGCTCTTCATACTAGCAATTTTTCAAGATCAAATCTTGGTTCCTAGGTAACGGTGTATATCGGATTAAGATCATATGTCTCATAAATGGTGTTTCAATGTGTCCCAATCTATTAAAAAAATGTCACATAATCAATATGAAAATTTAAAAAATAGAAATTTTTTTTTTTACATTATTTGGTGCAATATGATTGGCTTGGAACATATGAATATAAATTTTTTTTTCTACAAGCACTCTTGTGTGTTTCATGTATTAATAAGAACTAATCTTTTTGTATATGGAAACTTCATTATTTTAGCATAATGAAATATTTTCACATAAACTAAATATTTTTTTACCTTTTGTATAAAATAAATTTTATTTGATAACATAATGTTTTATTATTGACTTAATCAATACAATCTACGTAAATCAAATTTATTAAAAAAGGGAGCTAAAATATATATTTCGGTCTTTCATTAGATAAATAATTAAATTAAAACTTAAAATCGGGTAAAAGAGTATTTTTGACTCCAAAGGAATTTTCAATATTCCATAATCTAAACAGTGAAATTAGTGTTTATAAGTACTGAGCCTTATTCAGTCATTAGATAGAAACAAATATAAAATATTAATTATACAAAGCGTTCAACAAGCACTATTGGTTTAGTGGTAGAATATTACACTGCCACAATAGTGAGCAAGGTTCGAATCCTTTGTTGTGCATAACAGAGCTGTGATGATATTTGTGCTATGTGTGATAGATGGGTCTGTCCTAGTGTCTTCTTCAGACAAATTGAGCACATCTGAGCTCTTTATTTTTATATATGCTGTAGCCCAAAATACATTGCTATAAATAAAGGGTACCATTTTGGTCTATTATGTATTAAGTTATGGTAAAATAAGATTTATAATCATGAATCCTATAGAGTTACTTATGAAAATCGAGTTCACATTTGGTAAAATAAGATTTATAATCATGAATCCTATAGAGTTACTTATGGAAATCGAGTTCACATTTGGTAAAATAAGATTTATAATCATGAATCCTATAGAGTTACTTATGGAAATCATGAATCCTATAGAGTTACTTATGGAAATCATGAATCACATTTGGTAAAATAAGATTTATAATCATGAATCCTATAGAGTTACTTATGGAAATCGAGTTCACATTTGACACTGCAAGAACCTAGACAACTAGAACAGCTACAACCTTAACAAGGAAGTGGCAAGGCCATTCAGCATGTAACATTTTCAGTGTTGTGTTGCTCATTAAGCCATGTAGCAAGAGAATGGGTTCATAAACTGTAGCATGTTATCACAGTCCATATCCTAATTCTAAATCATGTTATTGACACAAAATTCATTATATGAGGATAAACAATTAAGAATCCTGAAAGTTCAGTAGATAAATTGATCCAGAGTGGTGTTACTTACAAGACTATGCATGCATTAGATAATCTAAGACCTTTACAATTTGAGTTGTGCCATGTCAAACCAAATTTGCTCAAATGCTTTGATAATGAGATAATGGTATTCTCTTGAATTCAGTGAAAGATAGCAGGCAAGTAAGTTCTCCAAATCTTTCGATGCCCGGATATTGTTCTCCTTAATCATCTCCGACATCGAGTCCTTGAAGTCTCTTTGAGGATCAAGAGAGGGTTTAGAAACAGCAAAGCCCTCTGGTAAACCTGTATTTTTTGTGGCCCTGCATGCACTTGATGACACATTCCTTCTTGCAAGTTTTGGAGAATTGACTCTAAGTCTTATACCGGTAGAATTAGCCGATGATTTTCGAGCTATAGAACTGGCTTTTTGCTCTCTTTGAGTTCTACTGATTAACCCTTTGCTTATTTTGACAGGTATAGATTGATGAGCCTGTAGCTCATCCAATTTAGCTGAACTCCTCAACTTAGTTGCTTCAATTGCCTTATCATCAAACCTCACTGGTTTTGTCAATATTGGAGCAAGTCCTATCTGTGAAATTGTATGAAATCCATCTAGATTTTCAGAATTTCTAGTTAAGGATTCACCATTGTTCAAGTCAATGATGATATCATCAGTTGAAGAGCTAAGCCTATTAACCAAGTTGGGAGCAGAAAACTTATCATACTCAGACTCAGATGAATCATATTCATCGCGGTTTGACTCGGGCGAAATCTGTATAGATGAAACATGATAGTTTGGAGACTGAATTTGATTTGGCTTATAAATGGTTTTTCTTATGGCCCTTTTCTTGGATGATGACCTTCTTGGTGAATCAATGAATGCCATGTTTGAATATTTGGTGTAAATAGTTGAGTTGCATAACTTACCTACTCTATTTGGTTCAATGGAGAAATAATGTGAGTATCTTGGATGTGACCTTTGTGATGTTGTTGGTGAAGTTACTTTGCTCTTCATAACATGATGAGAAGAACCATTTTGCTTCTTTGATTTGCTCATATCTCTGAGCTTGTAAAACCAAGCATTTGGCATCATATCTGACAACTTGAACTTGTTATTACCCATCAAAGATATGCCTCAACAACAACCTTGCTTGCTCTCAGTGTTTGTGTGTTTATCTATTTTGAAACCTCAGAATTGTTCCAATTCTGAAGAGCTGAAATGAAAATGTGGTCATGTGGGAAGACATAACTTAGTTTATAATAGGTAAAAATTAAAGTTGGTGTTCCACTACAAAAGTACTAAACAAAAGTTCCAAAATGAAAGCAAGGGGACCAACTATGTCACAAAATGAGTATCTCTCATCATTGCTTCCAGCAAAAATCCACAAATCTGACTCAGTATTCTACAATAACTACTAGTTTTTTGTATCCAATCTTGTTTAAGTTATTAACTCCTTGGTAAAATCCCATTTATGCAATTCATCCTTATGCAAAAGATGCCCAAAAAATATATTTACAAGCTTAAAATCTTATAAGTGATTTACAAAAGAAAGATTGATCCTTTACCTTGTCCAATAAAATATTAGAATTAACCAGCAATATGCCATTTGAAAATAAGTATTCCCAAGTAATTTATGAGTTTGAGTATGCATTATTTAAATGTGTGATCAAAGTTTTAAATAATGGTTTCGGTAACGGTTTTGGAAACTTCATTAGAATTTCAAGATCCAACTGTCATTGTCATTAATTTCAACATGAGTGGTTTAAATTTGTATTTGACTAAAAACTATGTTCAAGTTTTAACAGAATCTAACTCTGAACTATGAAATCTACTAGTTGCAGTGTTGCACCATAAGTTTCATCTCCAAAGTTAAATAGTATTTTGATGTGCTAATAATTAAAAGCTGCATAAAAGCACACATGGATCATAGGCATATTCATTACGTTGGTGGTTGAAGTACCCTTACAGTGCCTAGAGGATAATTAAGAACCAAGATTGTCTTCCATTACTGCTTTTTATAATTTTCTTCTTATTTTTGCTGGTAGTTGAAGAGTTGTAACTCATAATCAGGTTCTCCACTCTTTGTTTAGATATGAATGTATTTAATCTTTAGTAATCATGAATCGAACTATTGATCTTTTAGTCTTTCTAAGATCAAGTGAAGGCCTTACACAATGTAAGTTACACCATTTGACTAACATATTGGGGTTAGTGATTCTTAGCTTTAGAAATTATCTCATTTTTTCTATGCTTATATTTTATTATTTATTTGTAATGATGAGTATTATGTCTACCTGCTACTATTAGCCCATAGTTTCAAAACCATTTTTTGTATCTACCTCCAATGACTATAAGATCAGGCCAAAGTACTTGATAAATGCATTTGAGTAATATTTGATAGAATATAATAATATATATATATATATATATATGGTCAATGTAAAAATTTATATACAATTATTATATTATTCAACATTCATTTGTATTATTTGAAGAGTTAATGATGATAAAACATGAATGATATATAGAACTCATATACCATGAATGTATATATTTTTCTTCCCATTCTACTTCACAAATGGTATATTTTGTTATTCATTGACACTCATGGACAATGGACATTCAATGTCTATACTGGATATCCTAGTGCCTCTTTAAACCATGGAGGAGGATAACTCAGATTATATTTATATGAAATTTTTATAGGAAAAACTCATTTGAATTGCTCATCCACAATTTTAAGAAGATACCAAACTGACCTAAGTCTTGAGGTCTATGGTTATATGCCTATGTCCCTTGATCCTACATACATACAGCATAGTATCATATTAACGCAAAAATACTGCACAGTAAATACGCATCCGTCCAAAAAAAAAAAAAGTAATATCTATGATATGTCAATGTAATATTATTTATTTGTATTACTTTTTGGGACATCAATAATGATTAAATTAAAGTATATGATACAATAATAATGTGAGAGATAAATACATCAGCTATGGTTTAATGATCCATTTTTGTCATCCAAATTATAAGGAAAAAAATATGGAAGAGATAAAAAATGTAGCGCGTATAAATCTAGTTTATATAAACAAAAAACAAAAAAAACAAACCAGTCCTTGATTGGGAAGTAAAGTGTTCCTTTAAAATAACTAATTTGATATGGAGTATTAGGAAACCAGGTTATCTAATTTTTCAAGAACAAAATTTGCATAAGAAAAAATAAGGAAATATCAAAATGAATCTTTATTTTATTGATTAATAAGGTGTTGGTCTAATAGTATAAGACTCTATTAAATCTTTAAGATGATAAAAAGATCAAGAGTTCAATTCATATGAACGACAATTGTTGAGTTCAATTCTTTCTCCTACTTATTTGGGAAAGATGAGCAAGCCCAGAGAGCCCAAAAGCGAGAAGAGCTAGTCCTTCTTTCTTGCATGTACTATTTGAGCCCATGACATTGGTGATTCTCAACCTATTCAACCCAACACTAACATAACACACAACGTTTGTTTTTTTCAGGTACGAGGATCACTGCCTCCACCACCACCAACAACCTCCTTTTTCATAAGCTCACTGCAAAGTTCTTCACTTTCGAACTCCATAGCGAAGCCCAGTTCCTCATTTTTCTTCTAATCGCTTCTTCTCAGGGAAATAATAACTGTTTAAGGTAGTTCTAACCCTGTTGTTTTATGCTTTGTTGCACACATAATACAAATGGGGTGTTTTTTCTTCTGTTGATTTTGACACTGTTGTGGTTATTGATATAGTGGAAGAGAGTTTAACTGTGTAACATTGGATAGAACAATGTCTACTGAGGCAAGCTTAAAGATGAAGCTAAAAAAGAAGGCTAAAGTTGTAGTAAGAGTTTCTAGGAATTCTGTTAGAACTAGAGGGGATGAAAATTCTTTTGACAAGGAAAAGGTTTATGATAGAGAAAATGGGTTGAGGCAAAGGGGGGAATTTAAAGGAATGGAATCAGGTGAAGAAAGGAGGGCTTTGAGAACCAGAAAGAATGAAAATTCTTTTGATAAGAATAGGGTTTATGGTAGAGAAAATGGGTTGAAGAAAAGGGTGGAATTTAAAGGAATGGGCTCAAATAGAGAAGGGATGAGAAGGGAGTTTGTTGAGAACAGAGGAAAGTTTAGAACTTTGAATTCTAGTGGGAGGAATAAGAGGGTATATGCTAAGGAGGAAAGGTTTGAAAATGGGAAGTTACGGAATGGAGGTGGAGAATCAAAGGAAACTTTGTTTGAGGCTCTGCAGAATCAGGTGAAACATGAACTTCTTAAAGAGAAAACCGATGACCACCGTACAATTTGGGGTCCTGGAGTATCATGGCGTGGTGGTAAAAAAACCAAGCATTTGACTACCAAGGTGAAGGACAAGAAGGAAAATTCAAGTTTTGTAAAGAAAAAGGA